CGGGTCCCAGTTTATACTTTTGAACGTATCGTTGAGTTTTTTTTCATTAATGTACTTGATAATTTTAGTTTGTTTGTTGTTATTACGAGTTTCATTTTCTAACATAATTTGAAGAATAGTTGTATAGTGGTCTGTTATTGATGTTTCTAGGATTATTGGTATTATTTGGTCTTGAATGTCAACACTAGATTTTAGAAATATGTGATCTATACAAGTGCTACTGTTGGATTGGACCCTTGTCGGTTTATTGATTGTAGATGTATAACCATGCTCATTCAAAGTATTCAGATAATCCGAACATACATCTTGGTCGGGATCTAATAAATTGATGTTAAGATCTCCTGCAAATATACAAATATCATCAGTATTCTTGGTGTTTTCTAGAAATAAATTCAATCTATTTATGAATTCTCTAGCATCTGAATCTGGGGATCGATAGATTGCTGTAACAATTATATTTTTTCTACCTGTAGTGGATATTCTAATGTCCATTATGTTAATATTATTATAAATTTCAGTCCGGTTAAAAGTGTAATTCAATGATGTTTTCACATAAACTACAACGCCATCATTTTGATTATAGTGACTTTCATTATATAGCATGTCAATAGTGTATAGAGTTTGGTCAACAATATTCCATGTTTCAGTGAGAATCAAACAATCTATGTCTGAATTCAACCCTTGTAGAAGAATTTTAAACAGATCAAGATTTCTATTGATGCTACGAATATTCATGCTTAATATTTTGAAGTTATTGTTCAATGAATTGATAGTTAAAACATCAGTGCGTTCCATAATATCTTCCAATGGATAAGTTATTATTTTGCTGACTTTGAAATTGCGTATATACTGATCCATTTTTGGGTTTTATAATTAGTAATAGAGTAATAGAATTAGTAGTAGAGTAATGGAATATAGAGTATGATCAACAGATTAATTAATTAGGGGATTTGACCCAATCTGGGAAAACGGTGTGAAAACGCGGTGATTACTTCGATGTTGAGTTGTCTCTTGTGTTTGGTCGTTCGGTGGCGTTTTCCTTGATTGGTTTTTTTGTCGTATCTGTTTTTGTGGTATTACGAGGGTTGTGTGTTATTTCCGTATATTTAACGGTTTTTCTTCGTGGAATTTGGATATTGAGGGGTGTTTCTTCACTTTCTTCTTTCTGGGTTTGTTTTTGTGTATTCAATGCTGTACCTGGGTCACTGTTTGCTTTGGTCCCTTCAAATATGAAAGGGGTTGATTCTAGTTCGGCAGCTGTATAAATTTGGTTGTCAACAAACAACTTGTTGTTTTTTATGAAACAATTTTTCTCTTCGTTTTGTCTAGCAAGATAAAGATGTCTTCTGAGGATTTTTCCTTCTTCTCTTTGTTGAACTGTTAAGTCATTTGCAATGTGAATTTGCAAGGTGCAAGGTGCAAGGTGAATTAAATTTTTAGCGGACTTTTTCCAGATTTGCCTAAGGAATACACGTTGTTCAGATCCGATTCATCTAGGTTGATATCTAAAAGATTTTTTAGGATGTTTATGGTTTCTTCTGCTTTCAGTATTTCGTTGTCTCTCCTTTCTATGCCAAAAATCACGATGTTATTTTTCTTTCCTGCTCTTTCGAGGTATTCTATTTAGCTTTTTAGTTTTTGATTTTCTTTCTCAACCTTCTCAACTTTGTGTTTTATTTCCTCTATTTGAAGAGATATCCATATAATATAATGGTGGTAAATTTTTCGATCATTTACCATTAGAAATAAGATCTGCAAATTTAAGCAACATTCATTTCAAAAAGGCGGTGAAGAACCTACTTGTTGATAAACCCTATTATAGTTTGGAAGAGTATTTTAGTGAATCCTTTTAACAATATATTAGCAATATAATAGCAATTTATTCTTTGTACTATCACCTTATACATGGTGGTATTTTATCTATACATTTTTAGAACTATTTTTATATTTACATTCATACATTTTTGGAACTTTTTTATACTACATTTATACTTTTTTAGTATTTTTTCTATACTTATTAACATTGTATTTCTTGGACTTTGTCAATAAGATGCAAATCTACGGACAATAAATTATATTTTGATTTGGTCAAAGACGAAACGGACTGGTTTAAGTTTGACGATAGTCGTGTCACTAAATATTCTGGCAATATCTTGGAGCCTCTGGAGACGCCATACATTCTATTCTCTGGAAGAGAGGACATTGTTAGATCAAGATCTTCAGATGATGTGGTGCTGCAGGTTTTTCCGGGTTTTTCTGCATCTGAAAAAGCAAATGCGCCACTAGAATCAATGACGTCGCCCCGGAGTACCAATTAATTTTTGTTGTTTTATAATTTAATAAATTTGGTTGTCAACAAACAACTTGTTGTTTTTTATGAAACAATTTTTCTCTTCTTTTGTCTAGCAAGATAAAGATGTCTTCTGAGGATTTTTCCTTCTTCTCTTTGTTGAACTGTTAAGTCATTTGCAATGTGAATTTGCAAGGTGCAAGGTGCAAGGTGAATTAAATTTTTAGCGGACTTTTTCCAGATTTGCCTAAGGAATACACGTTGTTCAGATCCGATTCATCTAGGTTGATATCTAAAAGATTTTTTAGGATGTTTATGGTTTCTTCTGCTTTCAGTATTTCGTTGTCTCTCCTTTCTATGCCAAAAATCACGATGTTATTTTTCTTTCCTGCTCTTTCGAGGTATTCTATTTAGCTTTTTAGTTTTTGATTTTCTTTCTCAACCTTCTCAACTTTGTGTTTTATTTCCTCTATTTGAAGAGATATCCATATAATATAATGGTGGTAAATTTTTCGATCATTTACCATTAGAAATAAGATCTGCAAATTTAAGCAACATTCATTTCAAAAAGGCGGTGAAGAACCTACTTGTTGATAAACCCTATTATAGTTTGGAAGAGTATTTTAGTGAATCCTTTTAACAATATATTAGCAATATAATAGCAATTTATTCTTTGTACTATCACCTTATACATGGTGGTATTTTATCTATACATTTTTAGAACTATTTTTATATTTACATTCATACATTTTTGGAACTTTTTTATACTACATTTATACTTTTTTAGTATTTTTTCTATACTTATTAACATTGTATTTCTTGGACTTTGTCAATAAGATGCAAATCTACGGACAATAAATTATATTTTGATTTGGTCAAAGACGAAACGGACTGGTTTAAGTTTGACGATAGTCGTGTCACTAAATATTCTGGCAATATCTTGGAGCCTCTGGAGACGCCATACATTCTATTCTCTGGAAGAGAGGACATTGTTAGATCAAGATCTTCAGATGATGTGGTGCTGCAGGTTTTTCCGGGTTTTTCTGCATCTGAAAAAGCAAATGCGCCACTAGAATCAATGACGTCGCCCCGGAGCACCAATTAATTTTTGTTGTTTTATAATTTAATGATTTGTATCAAATTTTAGTTGTTCTTTCATAGATTCCGAATCATGGTGGAATCATATTAGACAGTAAGAGTCCGAACTAATAAATTTCAGCATAGAATAGGTTTTTCAGGAAAATAAATTTGATATCACAGTAAAACTAAGATTCGAATATTTTTATTGGATTCATTTGTTAAGGACAACGATGAAACAATGTTTTAATACGAATCAAAATACTTTTACAATCATTGCCTATGGAACATAAAAAATTTACAACAGCAAATAGGAGCTTATATTACATAACGGTGACAGTCACTTTGTTTTCCAAGCGAGAATTCAGCAGTCTAGTCTAGTAAAATCGTTTTTATAACGAAAGATCACGCATTCGGTAAATGCTATCAATAAATACGAAAATTGTGTAACGTATGATCACTGTAGTACCCGAAATACAGGAGTCCTGCATACAAGAACCATTCAATAAATTGAACTAAAGGTGGATTAGTAGAGTCCGTCCCCGGTCGGGTCGTTCAGCCATGGGTAGTTATTCGGACACCTAACGCACGTTTGCAGATTGATCGTTTCTCCGGGTACTTCTGAAGATGTCAGTTTACATGTGTGTGGTACCCAACATGCTGGAATTCCCTCTACAACGCACTTCTCCCTCCATGGCTCAAAGTTCTTGGCCTCTGAAACAGTTCTTGGATTCTGGATCCACTGAATTACTTGCGTCATCGTCACGAAGTATACGTCATTGTGGTTGGATAAAATCTCATCCACCCAGTACAGGAAAGCATCCAGGAACTCGGGATTATTCTTCAACCAAGCGGCGTGGAAGTACAGTCCCAAAGGAGCTCTATTCTCGTTGTAATGTCTGTCGAAGTTGTGATTCAAGAAGTTATAAAACTGATCTCCAGTGAGGATATTCGAACAAGAATCCACCATGGCACACCCAGGCAAGTACTCGTCGTTCTCTGGATCTTCCCTTCGATCTAACTCGTTCAGTACCATTTCCCAAACAGCATGAGACCTGGTGGGGCAGCTTTGGAGGTTTCCGTGACATCTATGAGGCATTCTGAAGTACATAGTGTAAGGCCATAGTGGTGGGTTGTTCAATGGGGCAGTGATTGTGGAATCGTACAAGAAAGCCTCTTCCTCCATCATTGTGAACTGATTATTCCCTCCAACTCGCAGGTAAGGAGCACGGACCCCAACAACACTATTATCAGTGATGTTGGCGAATTTCTCTATGATGATTCTGCTACCTCCCATTTCTTTGACCCAATCATTGACACTGGCGTTCGACCAAAACTGTTCGTCATCATTGTGTCTGGAAAAAATTTAGTTGATTGAGTACATGATTCATTAACAATAACTAAGAAACTAATTAGGGTGGTCATAAGGTATAAGGTGAAGAAATAGTTACATCGTAAGATCGGCGGGAACCTCCTGATATTTACTGTTTGTCCAGAAAATTTGATTTGGACAGTTTTAGCTCAAATGGATAATGTTAAAACGTGCCTTATTGAATTATATTTGTAAACACAATTTTTTTGCTAAAAATCACCGTTTTTTCTCCGATAAAGTGGGAGAAATATGATCCTCGTTTCATTTCATCGAAAATGTTGCTATCTTCAAGTTTTACTCTAACCACTTTTTTGTTAAAACGTTTACATTTCAAGATATCTATTATTTTCCAAGACCTGACATTATCCGAATCCTAAAGTCGCTATTTTTAATAAATGAGTGGAAAATAGCAAGAAACATACTCAATGTAATCACTTCTGATCAGTTTTTTTTCCTCTGCACATGATACATTATTAAACAATATATAATTAAACATAAAATAAATATTTTTTCAACTATATATAAAAGAGAATGTAGAAAGGGTAGCAGTTTTGATTAGTTGTGGGGATAAATAACAGTTCCTCAGCTTGCAATTTGTACGAGAATTGCTGAGGCAAAATCGGTAGCCGGGCGGTTCGACGTGGATGCTTTGTTCGCTGTCTCAATCGAGCGATGTGTGAGTCGGTAGTTCAAGCCACAGGCTGAACGATCGATTTTCACTTTTTATTTTCCAACCCATGTTAAGAATCACACGTTAAAGGTAAGACCCCATTAGTTCTTAGCTCGCACAAGTTTAGTAGTGGTACGACAGCTGCTTAACGCAAAAACATATTTTGAACATATATTTTTTCAAGCCGTATTTTAGGCAGTTAAACAGTGGGAGGCAAATGAGAAAATATAGGCAATGTGCGGTAAATACGGAACTTGCGTTTTGTTTGAGCAATTATTAGAGAAAAATCTTTTTCATTTAGCACGTCATCACCATATTTTACAAATTATTCTCAAATCAGTTTTCGATTCAAAAATGGGCACAGCTACTTGCCTCCCACACAAATATTTTTAAAAAGTTTCAGACCGGATGGTCGAAGCTAAACAAGACTAAATACAAAACTGCTATTGAATATAAAAATATTAGATGTAAAATAGGAAATTCAGCTGAAATATCAATTTTTCTTGAAGAACAATCTAAAATCCGACAGCCAAGGGATGATTACAAATAATTTGTTGAACTTTTGTTAATTGTTTCATAGTATGGTATATTTATTACAATTCCAAAACAATAAAATAACTGTTATAAAATCAAATTGCTTCCACTAATATGTATTTGCTGTCGCCAAGAGTAAAATTCAGCATTTAAGAAAAATCAGCTGACATTGATTTTTGAGGTCGTGTAATGAAGTATAATTTGTCAGTTTTATTTGACTAGCGTCCCAATAACTATATACCTAATAACGTCGGGTAATATTGGTCATTGGAAAAAAATTAAGAAAAGTGGTTCGTTTGAGACGACGACCCACATAACCTAGTGCCTCATTTGTTTTGTTCTTGCTGAAAACAGAAAAAGGTTATTGATGAGCAAAATCCGTGGATTTAAGTGGAGCACCATGAGTGTATATACTCAAATCACTAGCTCAAAACTCCTTCGAAATTCAGCCTTCATAATCCATGAAAGGAGCTTCTTAGCCAAAACATCCTGACAGTTAATATTTATCCAAACAATACGTGAGAAATCCTATTTTCATTCTTATAGAAATCTGTATCTTTAAAAGTAGTCCGATTCTGTTTCTTAACAGTTTTATAGGGGTAACATATTAGCTAAAATACGTTAAAACTCTTGCAATTGATAACAAATTATTTTATATAAAAACGCCATTTTAAAATGATAGCAATTCGGAATACTGACATTAGATAAGTTGAAAATATGAAATACTGCACATATACTGATATTTACAGTAGAAAAGTACATAGATATTATAAGATTATATTACTTAGAACAAACAGAGTTAATTTTCGACCAGAAAATTAATACGTCGACAGAGTGAATTTTGGATAATTAAGAATTTTTCCAAAAATTTCAATAAAAGAGTGAAGCCCTTGAATTTTTCTAATGATAAGTTGTATATTCGTCAATAAAATTTAATTCGCAGTTGAAGTATCAATCTTAGAAGCACAAACAATGTCTTTAACGGTTTTTATAAGTACAAAAGTGGAATTATTAAAATGGTCCTACCTTCCTATTCGTTAGTTTTTAGTTGGTGAAAAGTTTTGTAATAATTGGCATAATGTTTATAAAACTGTTTTGTAGTGTTGGTGAAAGGCCTCACAAAATATCAATAAAGATTACAATGTTTTATAAAACGGTGCTAATTTTCTATTTATAGCTGTTTTATAAACACATTGAAAACATTTCTGGGAGAAATACAGTTTTATAATTTATCTCTCCGAAACGTTTTCACAACCAATATAAAATATAAAATTGCTAGTTGCGTTACCACTTCAATTTGATGAATGATTGTAAATGTAAATGATAATAAAAACTTATTTCTATTATAATGCTTTCTTTTTTATATTCGATACGAAAAAATTTTGAACATAATTTTTTCTTGTTCTCCATAGCTTTTTGCTTTTATGTTCCCCTAAATCCTTCATTTTCAATTTGTATTGTGCTGTATTTACTTTGAAAACAATTTTAACTACTCCCTTTTTATGTGCCAACTGAGAAAATAAATACAGTTAAATCTGGACAGCAGATATAATCAATCAAATCTTGCGATGTTGTTACGTATTTCATAAAAAAAAATTTCATAAAAAGTTAAAACTTCAACCGTGATGAGACACGGGTTTACCTCATTCAATTGAGCTGAAACTCCACCAATCTCATTTCTTAGCCAATTGGCAGCTTTCAAGGGGATCTCCTCAAGAAAATTCTAGCATTGATTTGTTACGTATTTCATAAAAAACATTTTTTAAAAAGTTAAAACTTCAACCTTGATGAGGCACTGGTTAACCTCATTTAATTGAGCTGAAACTTCACGAATCTCATTTCTTAGCCAATTGGCAGTTTCTAAGGGAATCTCCTCAAGAAAATTCTAGCATCGATTTGTTACGTATTTCATAAAAAACATTTTTATAAAAAGTTAAAACTTCATCCTTGATGAGGCACGGGTTAACCTCATCCAATTAAGCTTAAACTCCACCAATCTCATTTCTTAGCCAATTGGCAGCTTTCAATGGGATCTTCTCAAGAAAATTGTAGCATTGATATTGTTACGTATTACATAAAAACACATTTTTATAAGAAGTTAAAACTTCAACCTTGATGAGGCACTGATTAACCTCATTTAATTGAGCTGAAACTTCACGAATCTCATTTCTTAGCCAATTGGCAGCTTCTAAGGGGATCTCCTCAAGAAAATTCTAGCATCGATTTGTTGCGTATTTCATAAAAAACATTTTTATAAGAAGTTAAAACTTCAACCTTGATGAGGCACGGGTTAACCTCATCCAATTAAGCTGAAACTCCACCAATCTCATTTCTTAGCCAATTGACAGCTTTTAAGGGGATATCCTCAAGAAAATTCTAGCATTGATATTGTTACATATTTCATAAAAACACATTTTTATAAGAAGTTAAAACTTCAACCTTGATGAGGCAAGGGTTAACCTCATCCAATTGAGCTGAAACTTCACCAATCTCATTGCTTAGCCAACTGGCAGCTTCAAGGGGAGTCCCCTCAAAAAATTCCAACATTGATTTTTTGTGACCACCCTAAGTAACATGTTAGATTTTGTACCTATAAATTTCTAATAAGTGAGATATCAGAAAAGAATCACTTACGAGATAGAATGTACGGCGATCTCATGACCCTTCCTGTGCATCTCCTGAACAGCAGAATAGTTTGTGTATTTGTGGGATACAAAGAACGTAGCTTTTATTTGGCAACCATTGGGATTTTTGCGTTCTCCATTGAAGATATTTTTGTAGAGTCCTATGTTGTTATTATTGATTGCGTCATCGAATGTGATGGTTATCATTTGAGGGACATCTTTTGCTGGAAGGTCGTTTGGAATTGATGTACCATCCTCGGAACAGAAGCAATCTGGGAGGCTACATACTGATGGATCGCATGATGGGGCACTATTGGGGTCGCTGTCGATATCTGAAATATAAAGAAAGGAATCAGAAACAAATGAGTTATTTTTATTCGTTATTCTGATATTCAATTACTCTATGGAAAAATAATTCTAATTCGCATCATGTAAATAACATGTTCCTGAAATACTATTTATGATGAATCAAATCACCAAACTCAAACAATTGTTCATGCAGTTGCAGTTTCGTATGTACCGGAAATTGCGTCAGCGGCTGTTACTGGTCAACAAAGAGATTCTGTTCAACGACATCACCCGTCCGCACATTTCACAAATCACCGTCCAAACAATAAACGAATTGACTTAAACCTCTCACCAACCGACTACTATCTTTCTCACCAGCAGAACTTTCGCCAATCAAGACCAGGCAAAATAACCTTCGTCGAGTTCGTCGAATCCCGAGCACACACTCTTTATACTAACGGGATCAATCGACTTGTGTTACATTGGCAAAAATACACTGGTTCAAAAATGTCGCTCATGACGATTACATTGAATAAGTATCTATTGAGATATTACAGTTCAAAGCAGAATGATAATAAATATAGAAATATAGTTTAAGAAAACTAAAAAACACGCTTTCAAAGAACATCGAACTAAAAAGTTAAAAATATAGCGCCCCCACGATTTTTTCACAATAATACTAGTATTTTTTGTTTCAAGCTTATTTAAAAAAAATATTTTTAACTTTTCAGTTCGATGTTCTTTGAAAGTGTGTTTTTTACTTTTTTTAAACTATATTTATTATTCATTTTTTACTTTCGTATGCTGTAAAAGCGTGTTTTTTAGTCTTTTTAAAATATATTCATTTTATCTAAACTTTGGGATCAATCAGCCGTATATTGTTTAGAAAAATGACCATTGATTTTCTCCGATTCCGGAGAAGGAGCCTGAAAATTAGCTACCAAGTACAAGGAAGGCAGCAGGAGCGCCTGTTAATAAAAAAATGACTTTTTTTCAAATGAAGAAATACATGTAAAGTAAGTTCGAAACATATCAAAGAAGTTACGTACAGCGCCATCTGCCCGCGAATAGATCAAGCAATAATGTCGATAACTCTGTCAAATACTGATCCCCAGCTTGAGAGTTACAAACAAACAAACATACATACAGGTGAAGTTAATAAAAGCGTGTTAATTAGAAAGGACAAAATTTTTAAACAACCTAATGCTAGGTATGACTTTCTTCGTGAATCTACAAAAGAAACCCAAGAATGGAGTATTGGAAAACACTATGGCTTTTCAGGAAATTTGATGGCCTCTATAATTCTATATTCATAATGAATACCTGGACTATAAATTGAAAAAAAAGTTAGAGAATACTTTGTTGAAAACATATCACAAAAAAATTCATATTTCACCAAATATCTCTTCCTTTCTTTTAATTTAATCTTTTTCCAAAGACTGATACGAATATTAGTACAAAATTATATTGTTCGAGAATATGGAGAATGTATTCAAAGAAAGTCATTTTTTGTGGAGGAAAAAATCAGTTTTTTTATCGACCTTTTTTGGGTAAATGTTACCTTCCACAATCTGTTACGTTTCGGAGGCCAAAATCTGTCGAAGAAGTAAAGAAATGAGCTATCAAAAAAGGAATAACTGCGAATATATTCGAATTTTTCGTCCATTTCTGAAGACGGAGGCAGATTTTGGCCTCCGAAACGTAAAACATTGTGGAAGGTAACAATTACCCAAAAAAGGTCGATAAAAAAATGGAGAATGTGTACGCCTAACATGCCTGCAAACAAAGGACGGTGACTTATTATTGTGCATTGCGAAGGAAGTAAAGGATGGGTTCCGAATTCTTTGAAATTATGTGGAAAAAACCTGAGGACTGCATAAGAAAATGGAAGCTAATATTTTTGAGAAATGGTTTGAAAACCATTGATCCCAAATTTGGATGCGAATAGTGTAATAGTACTTGACAACGCCTTCTATCATTCGCGACAGACAGCCCATCAAAGTACCGAATAAAAATTCGAGGAAAGATGAAATACAAAGTTTTTTAATGGCCAACAATTTGTATTTTGTAGATTACTATACCAAAAACCAACTATTTGAAGTTTCACAGACAAAAACATTTGAAAAAGTGTATGCCCTTGAGAGCATTGCTGAAAAGTATGGACTGAGACTTCCCCCCTACTTTTGTGTTTTCAATCCCATCGAGTTGATTTGGGGAAAATTGAAACAGAGTATCAGGCGTAAAAATGATTTTACAAAATTTGATAAGAAGGTAATAGAGCTAATTGAAGAAGAAGTATCTAATATTACTGAAGAGGACCGGCAGAAAAGGATTAGAAAAGTAATTTTAGTTGAAAAAGACCATATGGAGATTGGGCACTTCCATATTAACGGTGGAAATATATCGTTTACTTGAACTATACCAATAACGAATCGAATAATTCATTAAAAAAAAAGTATACAAATAATCGTATTACACTAATCAGCAGTGTTTGTGCAAGTTGACAAGAAACGTTTGAACCGAGCCTAATAAGTATCACGTAATATCAAACCTATAAAACAGGTCATTTTAAAGAACTCTGTTAAGCGAGAAAGTTGTTTCTCTGATCTGCTCACGTACAATATTATCAAATCTTCACTTTCTTTGCAATTGTATCTATACGCACATTATATTTGAGTGGTTTCGTGTTCATTCGCGTCACAGAGTTTTCAAACTTTGCATATGAGTTTGAAAAAAGTGAAACTTTTTGAAGGTCACAAAAATAGTAAAGGGCGATCATTTCATAATAACGAGATGCATAATAGAGAGGCAAGCTACATTCTTGAATTGGAAAGTTGCCGGTAAAGAAGCGGCGCTCCCGCCTGATGGGATGTAGATACCAAGGACATCGAAAGTGATTTCTTAATGATTACTTTCGCGTGAGATAACGAATAATGAGTTCCTTATGGAGTATGCAAAAATCACAGATGACTGGTTTGGTTTCTGGTCATTTTGGTGGATAATTATCTTTGATAGATGTTATCGTGTTTAATATAATCGTTATAAAAATGTATTTCTAACAGTTTAATTTGATTTAATTCGAAACGTTTTACTTACGCAAAAAAACTCTTTCTTGAAGGGAGAATGAATTCCAAATCAACGTGACACGTATATTGAAACAAATTCAATTTGAAATTATAACTAACAACATATAGTCTTGGTAGATTCGTTTGGCAACCTTTCTTTTTACAGTATTTGCATTTTATTTTGTACTTTTCAAAATACCCAATGAAATATTATGTTTATGAATGACTGATTTTTTCTTTCTATGGGAATTATCCAATGTCACTGATAAATGTTTGAAATATTCATATACTCTTTCATATTTCAAATAGTATGTATAGTTCAAGAAAACGATATAGTACAACCTACTTTCCAACAGCCCCCCTTTAATAATTCAGTCAGGGGGCTTACTAATTTTGTTATTCAATAATCATTTCTGATTATATGAAAATCACAATAACTATAATTCGTTTATAGAGGCGAGTGGGAAAGTAGGGATTCAAATAACAGGGTGACAATTGAAAATACTTCTAAGAAATCAAAAATCAAAAACTCTGCTTCACTTTGCCAAGCTTTCGCTTCTAGTGGGAAGCTTCTTCAGGGCAGTAAAAATGAGTAAAAAACAATTAATTGAACATATAAATCGACGAAAAAAGTTAAACATTAATGGAGTTTTTTGGTTTGACATTGAATTAATAATGAATTTATTTCCACCACTGATATGGAAGTATCCAATCTCCATGTAGTCTTTCTCAACTAAAATTACTATGTTAATCCTTTTCTGCCATTCTTCTTTGGTTATATTAGATACTCCTTCTTTTATTAGCTCTATTATTTTCTTATCAAATAATGAAAAATTATGTTTACGCTTGATGCTTGATCCCATCAACTCGATGGGATTGAAAACACAAAAATAAGGGGAAGTCAGTATGGTGTGTCCATACTTTTCAGCAATACTCCCAAGGGCATACACTTTTTCAAATGTTTTGGTCTGTAAAACTCCAACAAGATGGGCCGAAGAAGAAGGGCTCAACATAAGTCCATCCAAATCGACCATAGTAGCATTCACCAAGAGGACTAAAACAGAGGGTCTCGGACCTCTAAAACTTCGAGTTGAAGAAATACAAATGTCGGGGGAGGTTAAATATCTGGGAGTGATTCTAGATTCCAAACTGACCTGGAACTACTAACACTTGGACAGGATAAAAAGAAAAGCGGAGGTAGCACTAATGCTCGCCAGACGCACCTATGGAAAAACATGGGGGCTAAAACCAGACATGGTATAGTAGCTATACATGATGGTGGTTAAACCCATGATAACATACGCATCTCTGGTCTGATGGCCAAAGATGAAGCAGGCGACCGCTATCAACAAACTAGGCAAGGTGCAAAGACTTGCATGTTTGGGAGTAACGGAAGCAATGAGAACTACCCCAACAGCTGCGTTGGAGACACTCCTGAATCTACCTCCTCTACACTTTGTGATAATGGGGGAGGCCAGGATGGGCCAATTCAGACTGGAAGACTCACCGAACTGCAAAAGATCGGACCGAACAAAAAAATCGGAACATGTGGAGGAGCACATATTGAATATGTGCACGGACCACATGACACCGAAGTACACCTTAATCACAAACTTCACGGCCAAAACCATAAGCCATGAAGAGTGGACGACCATACGTTTCCCGAAAACATGTTTAAAAAAAACACCTTGTATACAGTTGGATCGAAGACCAAACATAGAACGGGAGCTGGAATATACCAAGCGGATAGAAATTTGAACTACAGTTATCCGCTAGGACTATACACATCCGTCTTTCAGGCGGAAGTGTATGCTATCTTGCCGTGTGCAAGGCTTATCGAATTGAGACCTCAAAGAAATGAGCGGATCAATATTTTAACAGACAGCAAGAGCGCACTAGGGGCTCTGATAAACCCGAAGGTGACATCAAAACTGGTCTGGGAATGCCATAAAGAACTGAATGAACTTGCAAACAGGAAC